CCAGCTCTGTCACATCATAGGTGTTTGACTTTGAATAAGTTATTGCACTTCTCTTTGCCAAAACAGTTTGTTTTTCTAACCTATGGAATGGTGGCTAAGATCCACCTTTGAAAAAGCCAGGGCAGAAGCTCTACCTCATAGAGTTTTTATAAGGCTTAAAACATTCAGAACAATGCCCAGCACATAATACCATCATAGGAGTTTTTAAAATAAATATGTGGTATACTCATACACATTGTAGATAGTGTCTCTCAGCTACCCTAGTCGGGGAGGCACTGTTTCCAAGTCTGGATCCTAACTTTGTCTAACTCCTTCCTTCAGTAATTCATAGATATTATTTCCTGGGCTTCATTTCTTACACAAAATCTCCCTCAAATTGACTAAGGTTCATCACTCAAATTGTCAAAAAATGAGTTGCTTGTAAAGATCTCCATTTGTAAGACAAATTCTTTTGTAATTTTTTTTTTTTTAATTTGGGTTCAACTAACATTCTTTAAGGACCTACCACACTTTTCTGTGTCACTGTGTGCGAATCTACTGTAAATGGAGTTCCTTCCACTCTTACAAGTCTGTAAAAGCAGACAAGGTTATACTAAGTGAAATGGACCCAATTTCATTAGCTCTTGCCTCACCGCCTCAACAGACAGACTTTAGTCAGCTCCATACCCCATCTCTAAGCTTATGTCTGGGAACCCTCAGGCATCTCACGTGGGCCCCACTCTCATGGAGATCCATCACACCACCACTACTTCCAGGGGATACCTTGTGAATGCCAAAATCTGGGGAAGATCCATTCTCCCAGATCCCCCAAAGCTGTTTGCCTATTCTTCGGGCAGCATCCATGATGCTGTTTTTGAAGCAAAATCAGAGAAAATGTTCCCCTCTCCCAAAGAGTATCACAATTTGTTACCTGGGGACCAATAGTGCCCCCTTTACATTGAGTTCTTGATGTAAAAGGATTCTTCCATTGCTGCCTGCAGCCCATCTCTCTACTAGTCTGGGCGTAAGTCCTTGAAGCCTGACTGGTGGAGGATGTGACTTTCCCTACCCTATTTTCTCCTGGTGCCTACTCCTTCAGGAATACAACAACACAAAACCTCAAGCAATTTGTTTTTTTGTTTGTTTTGTTTTTAGATGGAATCTTGCTCTGTCTCCAGGATGGAGTGCAGTGGTGCAATGGGCTCACGCAGTCTCCACCTCCCAGGTCCAAGCCATTCTCCTGCCTCAGCCTCCCGAGTAGCTGGGATTACAGGAGCCCGCCACCATGCCTGGCAAATTTTTGTATTTTTAGTAGACGGAGTTTCACCATGTTGGCTGGGCTGGTCTCAAACACCTGACCTCAAGTGATCCGCCCACCTCAGCCTCCCAAAGTGCTAGGATTACAGGCCTGAGTCACCGCACCTGGCCGAAATCTCAAGCAATTTGATTCCCAAAGGCCAGCCCATGCCTTCATCAGACTATTCTTTGACACATCTAAGTTACAGTAGAGGATAGAGAAAGGCACTTGATCTTGGCCTCATGGCTCCTAGATTGCATCTATTATTTTCCCATATATGATCACCTGAATGGTGTTTATTACAGGGATTTTTTTTCTATAAAATTTACTTTCAGTGCTTAATCCATCTACTATCAATTCTGGGATTATTACTTTGAAAATCAGTCTTCTGGGTGATGGATGAATTGAGTCAGAATCATAAATGTGTGCTTGTTCAATACAATAATGGGTTAAGGTTACATTCCCTGGTTTGTAAAATGTTTAAAGCCCAAAGATAAAAGCTGTTCACCTATCACCTTTTCTCACTCACTGGTGATGCCTAATTGCAGGAGTAAGCTGGGGTGGTCAGGTGGCGGACTGGGAACTTGCTGTCTTAGGAAAAGGAAGGCAAGCTTGTCTTGTTTCTTTGAAGCTGCTGACACTTGGCTTGCTGGGGATATTGGTTGGACCAGCTAACATTTGCTGTCCATTCCTCTTTAAAGCAATCAAAAAGCCACCCTATCTGTTAACCTTGACCGTATTTAGCTTGTAGATCACTCTTAAGTCCTCTACCCCAGAATGTTTTCATACAGTGGTTAAATTAATGATTCAACCAGCCCAATTAGCTAATTTTTAATTGTAATACATATCTTATTATCCAAAGCCCAAAAGGAAAGGACTATTTTCCTACTCCGTGTTTTCAATCTGAGGCCATTAGTAACTTCATGGCAGTATGGGCTAGTCCATGATCTGATGGAGACTGGTTTAAATTCACTCTTTTGAGAACATAGAAGTTAGTTGACTTCAGAAGTGTGAACCCCATAATATTTGGTATATTAATAGTTACTAAATGTATGCCACTGAGAGAACCTAAGCATTTCATCTGGTTGGCAATTAGATCACATTTAGGATATGATTACTTAGATGGAAAATTAGCTTTATCTTTAAAAAATATCCTATGTACTGACAACTTAGAGTCTTTGAGGGATAAGTAGATCTGCCATGAAACACAAACATTTGTTGTCACATCAATGGCAAGAAGCCTTCATGGTTTCATTTAGGAGGGTTTGATGGTTGTCTTCAAAGTGGTTGGAAGCTGTAACAATAAACACTTTGAAGCACAATGCTTTGTCATTCTCCTGCCTTAGGCCTGCCTGTTTCTGGCATAGATTAGCATGGTTTGTCTTTTTTTCTTTCTTTCTTTTTTCCTTTCTTCCTTTCACAATGGAAGAGTTTCCCCTTAATGACTGCCTTTATCCCATGTAAGCACCAAACTTTTTAAATGGTTTAGGCTGGGGAACTCAACTGTGTTGATAAAAACTTCATTAATGAAAGTCGTATTCCATGGGAACTTTTGTTGCCACATTATAGTATTTGTGTTAGAACACTGGGTCCGCCACATAACAGTGATGCAAGCAACACCACCACCATGACAGCAAGAATTACAGTAGGAAATTAACTCTAGCCCTAGGTGGCTCATTGCTCTTTTCTGACAATGGTGGGACCTTCTCTCAACACTTCCCCTGACGTCTTCCTGAAGAGAAGTTAGCTAAACCAAAAAACATTCTTCATCATTTTTATTCACTCAGTTGGCCTAATATTTCCCAAAACCACCTCCAGATTTCAACTGCCAAGCTTTCTGCAGGAAAAATGCTTCTCTGGTGTCTGTTGAGAGAATTTGAAGTCATGGTGGAACGCCCAGGATTATGGGCTCTTCTTGAAACTGGACATCATCAAACGGGGCAATTGTTCATTTCTAAGAAGCCTGAAACAGCTCTGTGGTTCTTTGCTTGTGGACAGTTTGCCTTTCCTGTTTTTCTTACTGTAGGCACTAATTACAGAACAATTAACAAAAGCCTAAAAGGGTGTAATGGAGAATTTCTAATGAATCCTGACTTATTATGGCTGAAAGAAGACTTGATGTTGGATTAATGTAGAAACACTGGAATACTATTAAAGGAGCTGGCACTTGATTTGATAGAAAAAAAGAATTATTACACTGTTCTATTCCCTTTTTTCAATTTGTACAACTCCTCAGACAATTGTTTTCTAAGAAAGGATTAAACTCCTATATGAAATGGATTTTGATGTTAAATGATGACACATTCTCTTTCTCAGTCCCACATGTATGTGTACAGATATCATATATACACACACATATTCATATACTTCATGTATACGTATGTGTATATATATACATATATATGCACATTCAAAGTATTTTTCTATACCTCACTTTGTCTTCTTTCAGTAATTTTCACCTTGATTATGATAATATCCATATAAACTTCATTACAAGTTTACTCGTTTATAATTCAGTGAAGTTTTTACTTCGCCCCTAAAATGTATTCATTGTTAAACTTGGCAGGAAATAAAGGCTAATGCAAGTGCTCATGTGTGTACCCGCAGGCACACACACACATACACGCACACACAAATGTCCCACTGCCCACAAAGTAAAATAAAGTACTTTGGAATATCCCTAGCAAAATATGAGAATAGCAAGATAAGGCAAAGTAATAAATATAAAGCAAAACTAACAATTCCCATTTTCTAACTTAAAAATCGAAACTTTCCTGCTAAAGTAAAAAGGGTTTAGTATAAATTTACATGAAGTTGGCATTTCACTTCAAGATAAGTGCCAGTGAACTATCTGGTGGGTATGAAGTGTCTCTGTGTTAAAAAGTTAGAAGTGACTTCTACACTCAGTCCACTCACCCCTTTTTTTTCACTACATAAGAAAATTAACACAAAAATGCAATTATTGAAGAACAAAAAGAAAATTAACTTTAGATTTGAATATAGACCTGGGTTGGAATTTTAATTCCAATTAATGTTACTCAACCATGCCTCAGATTCATCTGTAAAAGCAGCAATAACACCTGTGCAGGGTGGTTAAAACGATGATATGTGAATATTAAATGAGGCGATACATGGGACATTCCTGGTCCAAATGAGCAGTTGTGGAGCTTACTTTCTCCATGTAAACTCTGAGATGGGCACAGATAATAGAGAAAAACTAGAGAAGAAAAGGTCGACCTACCAATTAATGTTTGACCTTACTTTTGTAATTCCAAATTCCAACTCTGTTGGTCCCAGTAATAAGACTAAGTACATTTTTTCCCCATGTATATAGTTCTCTAGCTCTAGTTGCTTCATGCATTTCCAGTTTTCTAACTGGAAAGGAAAGGAGGAAGAAGGAAAGAGGGAGGGAAGGAATTAATATCTCTTTATTTCCTGTGAGTAGTTGCCACTACACTTGAAGAAATGGGAAATCAACAAAAGAATAAAATATAAATATTGCTGATCCAAGCATCTGCAGCCCATTAACAGCCTCTGCCATGGCAATATCTATTCTTTTTCTACTTGAGCTCTCTCACTCCAGCTTTTGTTCTCTCCCACATTCAGTCTGTTTCTCATCCTCTTCTGGATAATTACAGTAAAAACAAAATTATCACCCAGCAAAGGATGTGTCAATATGTGTGCAAAGTTGATCATGGAAAATAAATAAGACATAAAATAAAAATAAAAATAAAAAATACATCCCAAACAGGTCTTTTTATTTAACATAAGGCCAAAGAAGCTATCAGGCGTTGCTGAATACTGTCCACTAACTGTACAAAATATTGACTGCATGCCTCGCAAACACCAAAATATCCGCTGGAATGCCATAGAAATAAATAACTTCTGCTATAAACACATGAAAACATATCAAACTGTTATCTCTTTAAACATATTGTAAATAAAAAAATTACCAGTACTTCTACACAATAAATATTAAGAAACCATTGACATAGTTGAAATGCACTCATATAAATTAACAACTTTAATTACATTAGCCAAACAGACATTGGTTAAAGAACTGCATGTAGTATGCAAAAAAACAAAACAAAACAAAAAAACAGAGTAAAAATCCAACAAAATAAAAACAAACAAACAAACAACATCAACCACAGAACATAAAAAGTTTTAAAATAAAACGGGCTTCAGATTATCTTGGCTTTCATAATTATATTTTTCTTTTAAAGAAAAATATCAACCCATTGTCAATGCACTGTTTTTCAAAGCATTTAAATAGAGGGTAAAACCCATTGGAAATTAATACAGAAGAAATGATTCACTTTATGCATAAAAAATAAATAATAATATAGCTGAGACATGTGGTTTGCTTCTGCTCTTGAAGATGTGAACAGCTTCTAAGCATTCGTTTTCTCTGACCCATACAACAGCTTCTCAGTGATACAGGGTTTAATTTAAACACATACGATGTCCACCCCCAAGCCTTCTGCCCACATCTACAAGTTTTATTTATTTTGTGGGTTTTCAGGGTGACTAAGTTTTTCTCTACCTTGAAAAGAAAAGTTGCCAAAAGGTGCACAGGAAATCATTTTTTTAAGTGAATATGATAATATAGGTCCATGCTTAATACAACTGAGACATATTTGTTCTCTGTTTTTTAGAGTCACCTCTTAAAAGTCCAATCCCACAATGGTGAAAAAATAAATAAATAAAAAGTATTTGTTCTACCTTTAAGGAGACTGCAGGGATTCTCCTTGAAAATGGAGTATGGAATCAATCTTAAATAAATATGAAATTGGTTGGTCTTCTGGGATAAGAAATTCCCAACTCAGTGTGCTGAAATTCACCTGACTTTTTTGGAAAAATAAAAATAGAAAATGTCAATTTGGTCCATAAAATACATATTACTATTAAAAGATATTTGAAGACAAATCCTTTTCAGAGCTTCTAAGATTGGTGTGGGCAGATTTTTAAGAGCCTAGAGTTTAGCCTTAGAGAAAGAGCGAGGAGATAGTAAGCTAAGATAGAGCCACCCTGGTTTCAAAAAAAAAACATACTACTAAGAATCCCATATGTTAGCATTTAAAGCCTTTACTTTTGGCCTCATGCTGCTAGGTGAAAGGGTGATTGTTCACAGGGCTTGTATTTTCCAAGATTATTAAAGATGGTAAAATACTATCTTTCAATGTTATCAAAAAATGGTAGCAATTTATACTTCTATTTCAAAGCCATATAAATTTAACAAAATTAAAGTTTGTGGGTGTTTGATAACCCAATCATTCAATATCCAATTAAAATATGGAATAAGTTTCAAATAAAATATGGAATTACATTTCTCTGCTTCTGATAACTGTGGTCACTAATCAACCCCTATGTTATCCCCGATATGTCTAGGACTTAGCTTAAAAAGGTAGCAGATATATTTGAGATGAATGGGAACTATACATGGGTATCAGCTTTCTTTGCAAATTTCTGCTTTTTCCATATCCTTGACCATCTCTGCTACTGCGCAGTGAACCAGGACTTAATTTCTCACACTGTTTCTGCAGGTACCAGTACCAAAGAAGATGCAGTTCAAAATACTGCCAGTTTTCCATGAAATTTTGTAAAGTTGAACATGGCCATCTACTCTTGCCTTAACACTTTTCTCACCACACCCACCTTCCCACATGCATGATATCCAAGGTCAATAGACCTTGATTAGAATCCACTCTCAAGCTTCTCATGCAGTGCATATTGTATTTTCTGCATAAGAAAGGGCGGCCTCTAGAACACAGTAAGTGTATTTGCCCTGTAGTGACATTGCCTACATATAGCCAAGTGTTACAGTATACCAACTGAGTATATTTTTCAAGGAGAGCTAAACCACCTTTTGTAATCTTTGGTTTCTCACTGATATCTTCCTTTCCTATAATTAATTTATTTTAATCTACAAATTGACATAGGGCTAAAAGCTTCAATATTTTACAAAATATTAATTAATGTAATTGTTCCCAATTATTAGAAACCTTTTTCCTTTTTTCAAAATATTTGCCAACTTCACACAAGTCTGTAAAAATAAGGCTCTGTATTTTCAAAAGCACATACATGAATAATTTATTAGCTATTCTAGGCAAGCTAAATACTAGAATAAACTAGATAAAAACTTGGCTTTAAGCATGTACTTTGATATTTATAAAACAAAGGTTGTTTTTTTTTTTTTTCCTCTCTGCATCTGAATCGATACAAATTTACACATGAAGATAAATTAAAAATTTAGAGATTTTTTACTACTGCCCTCATCTCTGCCTCTTCTTAACTGTTCTCTTCCTTACTCTCCCTCTCTTAACACCTTCTCCCAAATTAATTATCTTTTAGTTAGTGGTGACATTATTTTTCCCAGCTGGTACAGGTAATATTTCTCATAACCAAGCCTTAATCATTTTTTAAAAATACACTTAACTCTAATTCTGACCTAAATATTATATTTTTCTGAAAAAGCTTCTGATTTAAGATTGATTCCAGTAGACACTAAGTTGGAAAAACTTCCGCCCAGAGTTTTGATTATCATCCTGTTTTCCCCATAGGGGAAAACTTGTAGAAGTGGGAGGGGGCACAAAAAAGAGGAGGAAATTTGATCCCTGTACAACAAAAGAGGGCCTTGCTGAATATTCACTGGAATTTTCAGGCTTTTTCCCATCCGAATTTTTGAAATGTGCCCACCTAGTTCAGAGTAAAAGCAAAAACTATAGCCTATCCTTCTTAAAAATACTGTGTTTTGCACACAAACATTCATTGCTTTAAGAACATTAAGAAATGACAGCCTGAAGTGCTTAAAATGTGTATGGACATGGTACAATACATGTATATATACATACAGATATGCATATGCACAAGCAATGTATATATACACATACAAGCATGTAGTTCCATGAATTTGATTGAACTTGATATCCAACAGTGTACAACTACTGTACATCCAGTATGAAATGTCCTGTTTCATGGATGTAAAAGGAGTCAAAAACCAAACTTCTCAGGTCTTTTAAGCCTGAACACAATCCACACTACTCAACCTTGAATCCCAACCCCTGACTCATTGATGGTGAATGATACCAACCACAGACAGACTGTTTAAAGGCTCACACAAATGTCTTTGGTGTATGTGTCTATTTTTTAAGGTACAAAATAATAATAATAATTATAATTATAATAATAAAAATAGCTATTTTGTGTGCTGTAGCAGTTCTTTTATAGCTCACATTAAGTGCAGCTCTTAAACCCCACCCCCACCCCCACTCAAAGAAAATACTTGTTAAATAAGGATTAGACAGGTCAAACACCATTGTAGTGCAAATAGTAAACGATTAAAAAAAAACAACAACAACATTTACAAAATATAGAAATGTTTGGATCCAACAGATGGACAAACATATTCCTTTCAAGTATCTCTCCTTGAAGAAAATAAAAATTAATCAGATTACTTCCAATACAAAAAAGTCTCTCTTTTTGTTCTCTCTCAGGTAAACAGTTTCAAACCTATTAGGTTGCATAGTTCTAAGATCATAAGCACCTTAACGAAATGTAACTTGGTATTCTTTTTTCCTTGATCTTTCATTCTTTCCATACTTGTTCTCAATTTTTTAATGTTGTTTGTTTTGTTTTGTTTTGTTGCAAAAGTGGTACAGAAAAAGGAAGTGTGACCACCTGCACACGATTGTTCTTTTACCAGTATGTGTATATATGTAATGTGTGGGAATGCCTGTGTGTGTGTGTGTGTGTGTGTGTGTGTGTGTGTGTGTGTGTGTATGCTGATATACACAGAGATAAGTGTCACACAGACATACCTTATGACCTGGGTAATTGGGTAGGAAAGTGCCTGTGATGGGCCCTTTCAAACTCATGGCTTTCTAGATGCTATTTGGGTTGCTCTAGTCCGCACTACTGCAGACTAGATTAGTTGACTCAAGGCTCACAAGGGAACCACAAGGGGGGAAAGGACATACCCCATTTAAACAACTGATGTCATCAGTGGGATTTCAGAAGAAATAAAGGGTACTCCATTCTCCCTTTGCCTCTCAATTCCTGTCTCTTTCACTGCTTCATCTCTGAGCCCTGGCTAAGGATTTTTTTCCACATCTTCCTTCATCTGTTTCATCAGGTTTTGTTTTTAATTTACTTTTGTTTATTTGTTTTTTTTGTTTTTTTAATTTATATTTATCTGGTTAACTCAGAAACCTTAAAAATTTCTTCATTTTGCCACTGTCTTCTCTGGACAACTCTTGCTCCCTTTCCCCCTGGACTGGGCAACTCTATGAGCACCCACACTCCTCCACGATCATGTTCTGAATGTCCTTTTTGATGATGTTTTGACCATCATCATAGTACAACATGGACATGGGTCTCAGCTTGGTGGGCACACAGCACGATTTGAGGTTGGCAAAGGGGCTGTGGCCCCGCATGCGGTAGTGGTTGATGACTGTTGAGTGGAAGGACAGTGAGGACCCGGATGTGCCTGCTATATGGCTCGGGCACTCACCCTCGCAGTAGTTGGCATGATAGCCAGAGGGAGCAATGATCCAGTCATTCCAGCCGATGTCCTTGAAACTAACAAAGAACTGTTTCTTACAGCAGATGTTGACCTTGCCATCACACTCCAAGCCCCGCCGACGCCGGCGATGAGGGTGGTCTTCAGACTGCCGGGCCTGCAGCATGAGGAAAGGTCTGTGCGACTGCTCCTTCTCCTCATCTGCTCCTGCCCCACCTTCACCTCCACCCTTCTTTTTCCCATCCCCCTCCTCTTCTTTCTTCTTCTTCTTGCCCAGGAGCACCAGGCTGGCGCCACTCTCCTGGCACTGCTCACAGGCAATCCGAACGTCCAGGGAGCTTTTTCCCTGATCCAGCAACCGCTGGATGCTGCTGGAGACAGGGAAGACGTGCCAGGTGCTCTTCCGAGCGTCTACCACTTTTTCAGAGAGCAACAGTTCACTCCTCTCCCCCTTTAAGCCCACTTCCTCGGCCTCTTCTCCTGTGTCCAAGCTGCCCTGCGGGTGCTTCTGCTGCTGGAAGAGGCGGATGGTGACTTTGGTCCTGGTCCTGTTGGCCTTGGGGACTTTTAGAAAGAGCCAGACTTCTGCACGCTCCACCACTGACAGGTCACTGCCTTCCTTGGAAATCTCGAAGTGCAGCGTCTTCCTGGTTGTTCCTGAAGACAAAAGACAGCATAAGAGAAAACAGTGACACCTGTTAATTCCAACATTTACATGCACTCACAAATTTCAGGCAAGCAAGAGTCTTCTGTGATAGATCCTCTCGAACAGGGGTCAGCGAATGACGGCCCATGGGCCGAAAATCTTTCTGTACTGCCTGCAAACTAAGAATGTTTTTTATACTTTTAAGTGGTTAAAGAAAAGTGGTATTTTGTGACATGTGAAAATTGTCTGAAATTTAAACGTTAGTGCCTGTAAATAAAGTTTTGTTGGAGCATGGTTATGCTCATTTCTGTACATGCTGCCTACAGCTGTTTTTGCACTAGAATAACCCAGAGCTGAGTAGCTACAACAGACTCTCTGGCTCACAAAGCGTAAATCATTTACTCTCTGGCCCTTTATAGAAAAAAGGTTTTGGACCCTTGCTTTAGAATGAAGAGGGCCTGTGATTCTGTGTCTGTTGACTAATTGCTTAACCTCAGTTTCATCTTCTATAAAATAGGAATGACATAAGGACATGTGACCTGTTATCTCCAGGTTTAGGAAGATCAACTGAGATAACATAAACGAAAAGACACTGTAAGCTCTAGAGAGCTAAGGAAATATCATTCTCAGACAAAAATGCAGCCCCTGGCCTCGCCTCACTATGTAGGTCTGTGCAGTCGGGACACACTGAGTCAGCTTCCTCTTCCCCTGTCACAGCCTGATTCCTCCCCCATCACCTCTTTGCTGGGTCACTGCAGCAGCATGTTCTTTACTTTGCCTCTGCAACACTAAGGCAGGCCTCCTCTCCAGTCATTTCTCCATGAAGCAGCCAAAGGCATCTTTCTCACAGGTGGATCTGATCACATCACTTCTTGAAAGTCCTTTACTGAATTCCTATTGCTCTCAGTATCCAAAAGAAAGTGCCTGGGACTTTGGGCTCTGTACATGCTGTTCCTTCCTTGAATGCCAGCTCTTGCCCAGTCCTGGTCTCTGGGGTGTAAGGCCTTGAGAATTCCACCCCCTGTCTCACCCGCAGGCAGTGACACCTGCTGTTCCTTCTGCCTCAAGTGCTCCTGCCCCAACTCCAACACATCACCCTTAGTGCTGCCTTTAATAATGTTTCAATTTTCAGATTGTTTGGACAACACTTCCTCTAGGAGGCTTCCTTCACATCACTTCCACCGCCACCCTCCTGCCAGCCTGGTTTAGAATGCCCAGGGTCTAAGGTCACTATCATAGTCTAATGTTCAGCAGAAAGTAGGCAATGACTTGATTACTTATTAACAAATGGAGGCGTCCTTAGCATTGAGTTCTATTAAATTAAGAGAGCCACCTTGTACCTCTGAATCCCCGATGTTTGCCTCTGACCCATTAGAGTGCAGCCTAATGGGCACCAGAAACAAATGTCAAATAGCAATCGCTGCTAATGGACAGGAAATCCCCACATTGTCAGGGCAGTTGAATTTAGCAACCACTCAGTTCTAGCCTAACTCTAAAATTAGAAAGTCACCTATTTCCTTCTCTTTTCGTAAGCACCTGTATGTTTAATGATGCAGCAACAATTACTATGAAAGCAGGTATCCAAACTAAAATTTTTTGATTAATCAAATATGTTCTCTCACTTCCTTTTTTCCCCCTTTGTGGCATATGGAAACATACCCTCTTTTCCCTGACCATGGACCTCCTTATAACTGTCCGCTGTACATGTATCCCATGCACAAATCTGTGAACAATCTTCAAGAAGTTCATCTTAGAACTCGCAACTCCCTGGGAGGATCTCCCTGCCTGAATTTCTATAGTTAACGGAAATCCAGCCATACTTATCACTCGAGGCCCTGAGATGTTTACGGTACTATAAATTTTAGGCACAGTTTCAAGTTCTCTGCAGCAGAAGGCAGGCTTTTCTGTGCATTGCGTACTGTAGATTCTGTTCTTAATTTAACACACTCTGCACACTGTGATTATGATAGTGGTAAATTCACTGAGGCAAGGGCCAAGCAGGGCTGCAGATGGATATGAAAGGTTCTCTGGCATCTTTCTATAAACTTACGAGGATGCTGGCCATGATGATGGTGGTGGTGGTGGTAAGGGGAGTTCCTCTGACTCCGACCTCATGTCTTTGGCAGGAGTTGAAATGAATAATAAAGCTGGGTTTATGATTAGATAGAATACCAGAGCAGAGAGCAGTTAGAGGGAGAAGCTGTCTTATTTTAGGAAGCATGATGACTTATTTTTTCAAAATCTGAATTCTATATTCCCCTTTGCTAAGAATTGGTGGGGGTTTGTTGTTGTTGTTTGTTTCTTAACAAAGTAAAGAGAAGATTCCCAGAAGCAGAGCTTAATCATTTACATCTAAAAAGGCAATCAGCAGTTGATTTTAGGGTGGCAGCGTCCTGCCAAGGCCTTAGGAGAAGACCGAGGGAAACCTCCCAAGCCTCGGATAACTGGCCTGGAGGGTGTGCACGTTACCTCCAGCATGGGCACATCTGCCTTGCCCCATGGAGAATGTTAACAAGCTACCTGCTGTTTTCCCTTCTGCTTCTATGCGGGACAGCTTCTGAAATCCTAAACTGCACAGGGTGTCACTCCAAAAACAGAGAGATAGTAGCTGCTAAATTAGAGAACCCAGAGGGCACAAGGTTGGGTTTTGTTTTTCCAGGAAAGAGTGTGAAACTGGAGCATCTGACTAGTGCCCCACATAGGGAGGCTCACTGGGTTTTGGGTAACTCATCCCCATGGGATCTACTCTGCTCTCGTCCACACCTGCCAGAAAGGGTCAGGGTGAAGGCCGATGGACAGCAGTACTGACCCGCATGAAGTGGAATTTCCATGAATAACATCCAGATGTTTGGGTGGGGGTGCCGAGGGAGGGTTAGTTGGCTGACTAGAATTAGGGACAGCCGCGTGCAAATTGCTTTTGTAGGGTTAGAGAGGCTGAGGCTGCTGGCTTCTAGTCACACAGCCTACAGGACAGCCCCTCATTTCACAAGAGCAGGTTTCTGATGCATGATCTAGCCCCACCCCTTCTTCACAGGCAGCTGTACTTGGAAGCAAATGATTTAGTGTTCCTGAGAGAGGATTGTACAAAGAGAGTACTCATTAGAGGGGGCTCAATCTGTCAGGTGCTGTTATATTAGGATCAGAGAGTCATCATAAAATGACTTTCATGCTGGTCTTGGCTGATAATTAACTGCATGGCATCGCCTGCGTATTATGGAGAGGCATCCGTTTAATTATCTGAATTGAAAGACTCTGTTCCCTGTATTTGCATCCACTGCCTGCGTGCTTTCTCTCTCCCCCATATTTCTGACATTTGGATTTTCCCCCTACTAATTGACATGCCTGTCGCCTCCTTCTCCTGGTGTCCATTTCTGGAACTGCTATTTGTATATTGCATGATATTTTATCAGGAAAAAAAATAAAACAGATCTAATTTCATGAAAATGCTGTTGCCATAATGCTCAGGAGAACAGGGGGAAGAGAGAGATTCAAGTCTTCCTAATGTCTACCTTATATGCAGGTACATTTTACAAGTTCTATTGTATTCTGACTTATTAAGCAGTGCATATTTCTTTCTTTTACATTAGCTTTCATTGCAGAAGGGGGTGGGGAGATGAGACTGCTGGAAACTGACGTGGGATTGATGTTTATCAGGGCTGCAGGCTTCAGAAATATATTACAGCCTCGGAATGTCCTAGGTATGAAAAATATAATAAATAACAGGTCAATTTATTATATTCCCTTTATCTTTATATTACCTGAGAGAGATGGCTATACTGCAGTGACACTTTCAAGATGCCCCAATCCTCCAATCTCCTTGCATAACAATTTGGAAAAGGGAAGGTTGACTAAGGCTGGGATGTTCAGGATCAATTTCTAATCAGTTTTAGTTTTCACTTGAATATCTCATGCTGTAAAATCTTGAAATGAAAGCCTTCCCATAATGCGCCGTGAGCAGGTTCTGCATTAGTTTGTACAGGTGCGACCTAGGTTCCTGCACTATTACCTAGCTAGCCAGATATAGCTGGTCGCTTTGCTAACCTTTCATTACCTACTCTCTGATAATATTCTTTTCATCCTCTGTGCTATTTTTTCCCTCCCGAGGCTTGTGAGCAAGGCTGTATCACAGCCTGCTCTGCCTGAGTAATTCACTAAGAAAGTCCCACGCAAACCCATGTGGGTGATAATATTTCATCACTTAAACCTCTATGAGCTCGGTGGACACATACCAAAGAGAGAGAAAAAGAGGTGCAGAAAAATAGGCAAAGAGAAAATTTGTACCTCACAGGGAATACCTCTGAAATGCTGCCGGGTGGGAAGGATTGGACAGAGGAGAGACTGTGTAAGCTGGAAGGAAAGATACCTGGAAGGGTGTTTGCAGCACATTTTCCTTTGCTTTCAAAATCTTTTGAATAAGTCAATCATGAAGGCATGCCAAGGGTTAAGCAGCTAAGCCCCTTGTTGTTCCCTCCCCCTACACTAAGATGCAAAATGATGGACTCATCCAAAAGTCCAGCATCTCAGATTTGTGGGTGTATGAACATTTTCAGTTAAATAAGCAACACACACATGCAGTGTTCCGATTTGGTTTTGTTTTCCTCACCAGGGTCCTGCCTGAAATATGTTGCTCTTTTACATATGGGCAATAATTATGTCTCTAATGTGAATGTGGAAAGCCTCGTTGTTTACAGAACATATTTAAACTTACCATGGGGTGGGGGTTGGGGGAAGCCTCCCTGTAAAAAGCGTCTGTTCCTTTAATTTTCCATTCTTCATCAAGATTTCACTGTGCCTAGATACGGTATAGTCAATAGTAAGGGTATACACAACTACCATTTACAGGGTGCGTTCTCTGAAGCTCTAACTTTGCATTTGGACTGCTTCCAGGGGTTTCTGCAGAAAGCAGCAAGTGAGGTCTTAAGGTTATTCCTCCTTTGACCTACAGTAGAGGATCTTTCCTGCAGTAGAACTATAGGTTTGGCCATAAATTATCTTGATTAATTTTTTAGCTTTAATGTCCCTCCTTAGGGTCCGTTATTGATTTATAAATGCCCAGCCACAAACATCCATCATCCATGCCTCTTCCATTAAAATGGTGATGAAAAAGGTTAAATATTTCAGGAGAAAGGGGTTTTAGATTCCTACAAGTAGCAAAAATTCTTAAGGTTCAACCCACAAAATTTCAGAGACTTCTTCCAAAGTTCCTGAGAACTTTGGCACTTTTGATTTTGGACCTAGGAACCAGTCGAGTATGAAGAATTCTGAACTACAGCTAGGAGATCATGTGCAAGTATTTTTTAGCAGAAGGGGGGCCAAGACAAATATGTGTTTTCAAGAAAAGTGCCTGGGAAGGTATTACTGCAGTTCTTTAAATATTACAACGGACTTTCCACCCTGGCATCTCCGCCACCCCCAGCCCAGTCCATCCACTGCACAGGCCACAGACCACTATTAATCTCTTTCCCCATCTTTCCCCACCATTTCTCTCCACACCCTCAGTTCGGAAACAAACGCATCCTCAGAAGCTGAACACCATGTTTCCACAAGGCATTAAAGAAAGAACCTTTTTCCTCCCTGTTTGAAGTCACTTGTCATTTGTCGCTGGTGGAAACTGTTGATAAGGCGGAAAACTAGGCAACAAAATCAGGGGAGACGGAAGATGTTTTTGTTACGATCCGGGAGACCGTATTAGGGAGAGACTTGTGAGCAAATCAGTATCGCTGATGATTCATGGTCACATTTCTCCCTGCTCTGCTTTGTTTGCTTTTGAAATTTATCACTCGTCTGCCTTCCATAGAGCTCCGGAATGTTCACATGTATCACTAGAATTTCCATTTCCTTTCCTTCTGTCTCATTTAATGTATTACAGGTAGTCATGCTTCTCCCATCTCATAAATTCCTAACTTTTTCTGCAGGATGAGAGGGAGCAGGAGGTAACTGATAATCACCAAGATTACTGGGCGCTACAGAGGGGGTGCTTCCAGTAGGCACAACTGCCTTTCCCTGGATAAACTGACAAGGAGCAAAAGTCTTTGGAACGCGCCCTCTTGTGGCCACTCTTCCCCATTATTCACAGAAGAGAACGTGTAACCCCTAAAGGCGTCCCTAAGGGATGGGTGATTCACAGAAAAGTTCGGACGATGGGCATGGAATGGTGGGAGTCAGCTCCATTTTGAGATGGCTTTCTTGGGGTGGGGAAAATGGTCATCCAAGCAAGGCTTCTTGGAGCCCTGTCTGGGTGGTGTAAACTTCGAACTCAAATCTTCCATACATAGTATCCTCCAAGGGGTAGACTTAGGTGTTGCACTCAACAACACCTAGGCTACGTGAGCACATCCATTTCTTGGTGTTTTGTTTGTCTTTCTTTTCCTGGTCTTTCTACAACAGGTGCTATCAATTGCTAAGCTAATTACCAGAACCTATATCCAGGTTTGAAAGCATATGGAGACTCAGAGGTACATTATTACTATGCATTGATTGACCAGCTACTGTCATGAGTCAAAATAAAGTAAAAATAAGCTGTATCAGCCAAAAAGGCCACTGAATTTAGCTTCATTGACATTTATAGCGATAGCTTGGCTTTACCCATCCCTTCTGTCTTTCCTTGTGAGGAACTCTGTAGGCCTTAAGGTAAACATTGGGGGTTTTGTGCCAGCCATGCACAGAACACACTAACCTTGGTGAGAAATCTTGGGTGATGTGACATACATAAAAATAAAATCATTTTTGTTGGTTGGGACACATTTCAGAGAGCCTTAGAGTGATTCCCTGCTGTTTAGTCAATAACAACTCGCATCAGCTTTACAGAAATCGGGCACTTTCTACCTAAGCAGGATGGGACAAACTCAGTTAAAAGAGTCCCAGGCACTTCAGCTTTTGCAGGCTCTCTACTTCTGTAGCCATGCCTTGGCTTTATCCAACAATCAAGGAGAGAAAAGGCAAAAAGTAAACGTAGCCTCAAATTGAAGAATCCTAAGGTTGAAAGGGGCCGCGATGGGTCTGCATTTGTGGCATGCTCATGGGTGACTATGTCTGGATTCTATGCTGCACAAAATGGTTATAAGGGAAAGAAAAATACATGGCTTTTTCTATTCTCCAAAAACTCTTGACATTCCACATAGTTGGAATGTCATTAAAGTTGAATTATTCCAAAAGCAGCAAGACATATGTCTTTGCTATTCATGTTCATATATTTGCTACAATCATTCAGATGATAAATATCTTTTCCTTGATTAGCAAAATCAGCAGCAAAATGCTCACGTGGTTTTCTGCTTGAAGAGTAGACTGTCCATATAGCAATTATTAAATATGTGAAATTATATTAAATCAACTTGAAGTTGATGTGTGAAATTCCTCAGAGAAAAATAAGCAATTGTAATAAACGTTTTCTAAGAATTCAAAGTCAAGTTGTAAAGTCAACCAGGAGTTTCCCATTACAAATCTTAAATTTGACTCAATGTGAACGTCCAATGAATTGCTTTTTAAAAAGTCGCTTATTTTCTTTCAAACTAAACACCTAACCGAGAAGTAAAAAATGACAAAAATCTCATACAACTGAGAGAAGATTGGCACTGAAAGGAAGACCACACATAAGCAAGAATGTAAATGGTCAAATTTTTTCACTGCCAAATCTCTAAATGCTAAGAGAGTGATTTGCTATACAAGTCCAGTAAGTCAGAAAGAGGGGCATATTGCTAGTAACAGTCGTGCGGTTAAAAGTGGTCAAAGGCATAGGCATACTTAGTCGTATGACATAGTTAAAGGCAACTGGATAGGAGCTGTCATTGAATCCATCATGTGTGGAGGTTGGTATATAAAGACACGAAGCAACCCTCTAGACCACTGAAATCTGTTTCACACGCGCAGCCAAATATCATAAATATTTTCTTTTGTATCTTTTCCCACCATGAAAAGTTGAGAAAAAATGGGTGTCAACTTGAAAAGTTCTAACCTAGCTTTCTTCCTCAAAAAGCTTCAGAAGATAAAGTCCTAATGATCATGCCTTTTGGGGCTGGGTTAAGAAAGGGCTTTAGGGAAAGAAAGTAGGACCTTCCCCAAGTGAAAGAGGCTTCTGGTGAGAGAGCCAAACTGGGAAGCTTGTAGGACACCAGTGCTTCTCCTGCAAGGGGAAGCCACACAGCCAGCAGGCTATCTGCACCTCCAGAAGGATGCCCCGGTCTTTCATGGTTTTCTTGAAAACAGAACATCTGAGTCAACAGGTTTTCAGGATTGGAAATTCTGAGTGTTGCCTTAATTGTTTATACTGCTGCGGCAAACTTTTAAACAAAAATGCTGGGAGTCCCTGCACATACTTTACTGGCCATATGCTCTACCAAACAAAACAATGGCATTCCTTTCAAATGGAGTTGGCAAAGGATACAGTTCTTTAGCCTGGCATTACCATGAAAGTAACACGGTATTAACACATCTGTGTGCCTGACGTGCATGGGCTTGCAGGCATGCAAAGGATCTGTGTCACTTAACTATAAAAATAGCCTGGCTCCAAGTCCATGGGCCCATACTTTTGACAGGTATTGCTATTCAGCAACAGGTTAGTGTGGTCCTGGGCCAACGATTAGAACCTATTTATTAAAGTTCTTCCTCTTAAGGATTGAGTGAGTTCAGCATAGTATCTGAGAGTACTTTGTCAAGGTTGCGTTCCTTGGCAGAGAGCTCTCAGTAACTTTAGAAAGAACAAAACTGGTTGTTTTCTTTTTTTTTTTTTTTCCTTTCAGAGAGCAAAAGTCAGTGTCCCAAAAGTAACTGCTGGTTCAGTGACAACCGTCCCCCAAAGTAGCTCTTCCCTGTCTTGAATGTGGTGCCTGTGCACTTATAGACAGTTTCTAAAGGTAAAAATGACTGTCACTCATAAATATGCCCTGCTTCTCTAATGTGGCCCCAGATTGGACTTTTAAAGGGGAAGGTTTGTTTTAAGAGAGTGACTTCATCTGTGCCATTCCACTCCAATCCTGGCACACTCACCCCTCTACCCTCAATAAAAACTTGGATGGGGTCCGGAAGCCTCCTCTGCTCCCCAAGCACCCGAAAATGCCGCGGCTTTCATCCGGCTGCTCAGATCTGGTTTCACAGGCAGGGCAAGGCAGCCCCTCACAGTCTGCCTTCCAGCTCAACATTGGCCCCGAGCTTCCTCTCTGTGTGACCGGCTGAGTTTAGCAAGTGTAAGCCAGTCATCTCCAGGCAGAGCTCGACCGAGAATTCCTTTTCTGTAAAGTCCTCTCCCCCTCCCCTGCCTGCCCTCCGTCCGCTAGTCCGCTACCATCACCTAATAACTAATAACCTTCCCAGGCAGTTTCCAGCTGGAGGGAAAAGAAGTTCCTCCTGGGACTGTCAAAGAAATATATTTTACCCTCCTACCCCCCACCCCTCCCCACCCCCTGCCAATGCCAGCACCAACCTGACTCGGCAAACGTGATGATCTCCGAGGTCTGCTCCATAAGTTCATTCATTTCTGCTCTCCTTCCAATGTCATCCTCTATCTCCACATACCCGTTCTCCCCGACTTTGCCCACATGAAGCTTTCTGATCGCGTTCAGAAGCGCCGCCTTGGGCACCGGCTGGGTGACATCGGGTCTCTTCTTCAAGTGCAGCATGTTTAAAATGTGCTTCTTGACGGCCTCCACCATCTCTGGCTGAGAGTTGGGTACATCCTTTGGGAGGGCGGCCAGCGCACAGGACGGACAGTCGGGGGCCGCGCTGTGCCCCTCGGATCCTGGGGTGGGGGAACTCCTCACTATAATCCAGCAACTTGCCAACAGAAATCCTCTCAGCCAAAGCAAGGGCATCCTGGCAGCAAAAGTTGTTGTGATTGCCTTTTTAAAAGGCCCTGCTTTTCCTCCCCCCTCACGCACAGGTTTTTTTTTCTTTTTTTTTTTTTTTTTTTTTTTTTGTGGGTTTGGTTTTTTTTTTTTTTTTTTTTGGTGTTTTTTTTTTTTCCTTCTCCTCTTCAGCAAATTCTCTGGAACAAGAACAAAAAGTTTTCTGTGAAGTTTTGTTTGCAGGTTCCTCTCTGAATGCAGTCAGTGCTGTAGGTTTGTGGCTGTCAGGGAGGAGAGTTCTGACTGTCTCCGAGTAAGAGAGAAGGAAGGAGGGAGGGAGGGAGGGAGACAGGGAGGGAGGGAGGGAGAGACAGGGTGGGGGGGAGACAGACAGAGACAGAGAGAGGATGGGAGGGAGAGAGAGACAGGGAGAGAGGAGAGAGGGGGAGAGAAGAGAGAGAAAGAAGGGGGAGAGAGAGGGAGAGAGGGAGGGAAGGGAGGGGGAGAGGGAGAAAGGGAAAGGAAGAGAGAGAGAGAGAGAGAGAGAGAGAGAGAGAGAGAGAGAGAACGGATTGGCCCTAAGTAAGTGAGTGAATGGAGAGGGAGGGAGTTTGCTGTGAGTAGGGCTGTGATTAGGGAGGGAGGGACAGCCCGTTTTCTGACAGGCTGCTCTCCTTCTGCTCTTAGCTTCCTCACAGACACCTCTCTTCAAATATCACCAATTTCGGGGGTTCTACTTTCTCTTCTAAAATAAATTCTCCTAATTTTGTTCACTATTTTTTTTTTCTTTCTCTGCCCAGTCTCCTGGTTTCACCTTCTTCCTTTTTTGGAGGGGAGAAAAGAAACCCCAAACAAACACAGTGTCTCAATCAACAGGGATGACTTGATTGAAAAAGTCTGTTCCCACCGCTCCTCCACCCTGCCAAGCCACAGCCCTAGGTGGTAAAATGCCCTCCTGACCAGGGAGGTCCAGTGGACAGGTAGTGGAGGTCAGGAAAGAGTAGCTCAGGGGTAACAGAGGGTGCCGGGGCCAGTGGATTGTTCTGGTCTGATGGGATCCAGGGAGATGGTCATTTCCCCCCATTCATTCATATTTAAATGTTCAGGTCATCAACACTGGCAGGCGATCTGAGGAGAGCGCAATGGAACTTTTGTTTGGGGTCATATAATACACTCCACTCTTCCCAACTGTGAAATGCAGCAGGGCACTGAAGGACCAGAGGGCAGGCAGCCTGTCACAAGCCCAAGTCCCAGAAGTGCTCTCCCCGTCGCCTTCAGCTGCCCCCTTCTGCCGGGGATCCACTCACTCTCACACATTACAGCCTACCACCGCTCGCGGGACTTCACAGATAAAATGCAAAATTCTCTTGGCCTTTCCCACATCCTTTTATAAAAAGAGTGCACTCGTATGACTTGAATAACTGATCCTATGGGAAAAGACTCTCTAAAATATATTGGCAAATTATTTTTCTCTGTCATGTGGTAGTTTTTTCAGCTTGCCCCAAGCCTGTCCCGACCAGTGCATTCATAGACAGCCTCCTTGACTGCTTCTTGTTCCCTCAAAGGAACAGTGCAGATAAAATCATCATGGATTTTAGTGTGCACAGAAAAAGAAAAATGTGAATTTTTTAACAATGCCTTTCTAAGGCTTAAAAAAAATTCTTCCCCCTCCCCTTTTTTCATTTTCTGTCTTATTGCTTTTATCTTGCAGAAGAATCTTTAAGGGGTCCATCTGTTAAAGCGTTCCTTCCCTCTCGGTTTCTTTCCCACACATAAGCCCTCTTGGTTTCTGAAGATACACTCAGCTTATATCTGACACCTAGTGTGTTCATAGCATTATAGTCAAGCAATGCAGTTTAGGTGGAAAGAGTTAATAAATATCATTACTACAAGCATAAGATCTGAGTGCAAGGGGAAGAGGGCAAGAAAATTGTGACACTAAGTTAAAATTACAGTTTTCACAGGTTAACAATGCTCTCTGAATTGTATATACTGTCTCCTTTTCCAAAACAACTATTTGTAAGACTTTTTCTGTTACAAGTAACCTAACACCTTTGGGGTTTCAGCTCCAGAAACATCAATTACTCCACCATTATTGTTGAAACTTTGTCAACATTGCCTAAAAAGCCTCATATTTTTTACGGGGATGGTGAAAGAGAATGGGGGAGGCAGGGGACATTTGTGTTATAATGGTTTTATAAAACATCTTTGTACTATAATACTTAACATCATCCACCTATTTGGAGTCACATATACAGTATCCAAAACATTTTGTAGTCCAATTAAGTTTTACAAGAAAGTCTGAAATACAACCAAAAGTTTAATGACTCTAAACAACTCAAGAGTCCTAATAGCAGCATTTAGATAACTGCAAGTTATCAATATTTGGATTCTCTCTGCATCTGAGTACGTGTGTGTTCCCTGAATTTACTGTTTGCGAATGTAACTCTTAAAAATAGCTTTCTCTTTGGCATATGTACTTGTATATATGTGCTGAGTGGGTTGTATAAACATATAATCTATTTGCATGCTCTAGGACTATTAAAAGCTATATTAACCTGCCTGAATAATATAAAAAGGTACACATCACAATGCACATTGGAAATGCCAATTAGTTGTAAAATTCCTCCTAGCTATCCTATCTTTGAATGTGTAAAGAGCTCAGAAGTAAGAGTTAAAAAGCATTACCTTTCTGGTCCCCACTCTTCCACCAGCCGGCTCTTGTATCATGTGGTAAGAGCTGTCTGAGCTCCTCTTCATGGTATTGGCACTGTGAAGTTTTATACTGTACTACTTATTTGTACACCACACATTGGTACCACTGAAACAGAGGAGGGCTGGGGCTTTGTTTGGGATTGGTTGGAATCAGCATGACATCAGCAGATGACTGGTTTTTCCAGTGTGAGACATTTCATAATTCATTATCTAATGGAAAGCCCTTCCTGGCTTCTGAGACACTACTGGGTGATGCACTGAGCCAGTGAAACCTCTGGCTAGGATTACTCTACCTTTTAGAAAAATATTGGAATCAAATAGATATGTCTCAATGAGTGTGTCCAACTTTCAACTTTTCTTTTACTACTCGCACACACGTCTCGTTATATTCAGGTTCAGTTTTATGTCTTTACATAAAACATCTGTTACTTCATGAAGTTGCTTCTATTTACAAAGTATTTTATTGTTTCTTTCAGGAAAGAAAATTGGTAGTGTTCTTTATATGGATTCTAATTTTATTTTTTTTAAATAAGCTATTTCATTGAGGAAAAAATTGGGAAAATCTGTATAATCATATGATGATGGTCTCCCCCCACTGCAACCAACTTACACTATTATTTTACATCTTGAAATTGAATGCCTGCTTCATAAATCAAGAACTTTGGAAATAGTCATTCTCTTTAAGTGAACTTCATAAGTATCCTTCCCAGGTCTTTAGAATCCATCCTAACTAACCAAACACACACACACACACAACAACAACAACAACAACAACAACAACAAAAATCCTCATGCATCATTCTTTTTTTACCAGAACTTCAACTCCTATAATTTCTAAATTGTTACAAATATAACAGGAGATTAATGAAAAGAAGTGAACACTCCTTGAAACAGGGGTAAAGCTGGTCAGGCTTTTTGGGGGCGGGGAGAGGTGTTGGCAAGTCTGGTAAATAACACAGGAGGAAGAAGTCCTCTGACAAGAATGGTGAAGGGTTGTTTGAAGGAGTATAGTTGAAGCATAAGCCCAGTTCTCATGACAAGTTGGATAAAATGTGCAAAATTGGGAACTAATGAGAGCCATATGACCAGATATGTTGTTTTGTATGCAGGATTTAACATGCATAAAATAAACTTTTCACTGTGCCCGCAAGCAAAATATAAAGGCTCTGGCCTCCTGATGTGTGGCTTAAGCAGGTTCCATTAGGACACCAGAAGTTTTCTGTGTAAGAGGGTCTCTCTTGGCTAGATACAGAGAAAGTGTGGGTGCTGAGCTGCATGGGGGTGGGGGGAAGGAGTATTCTAAGAACTGCATATGCAGAAATGAAGTAGGAAAAAAATCATTAAGTTGTAGAGCAAGAGAGTGAATCTGAGTGGCAAAGACAGAAATAGGATTAATGATGGTGAACTCCAAACCTGCCCCTCAGTTTAGCACTAGGTGAACAGAAACCCTTTATAAGAAAGGAACTTCTCCACCCTTCATGCTGAGAATTAGTGGAGTCAATGACCTTCAGGGCATCTAAACTCACCTCTGCCCCGCACATGAACCCTAGTGTCCTGATAACATCCCCTCCCCCCCCACACAAAGTTGTGTGTGTGTGTGTGTGTGTGTGTGTAGGTGATGGGGGCGGTGGTGCACAAAACAAACCCAGATCAGATCCCAGTTCCTCTGCTCACTCACCGTGTAAACTCAGGCCTCAGTGTTCCCATCTATAAAATGGGATCCATAATATGAACCTGTGGGGGTCAAGGGCAGCCGTCAGATAATAATAAGTGATACTATTTCTGAGAAGCCTGGTGGCTCTTCTTAAACACGGGTGTCACAGAAATCTGCAGCACTCTGACCAGAGGAGCCACAACACAAGTGTGACTCTGAAACTCCGCTGGCCATCTGATGCCACCGAGTGCCCACCTGCCAGACCAGCCTACCAGCCGCGCTGCAACCCCTCTGCAACCACCTGCACCACAGTGGCAATGCCTCCTCGCTCGGTGCAAATCAAGGTGGGGGTGGTGGAGGAAGCAGGCAGGTTAAAATAGCTTCTGTGGAATATTCTAGACTGGGAATCAGCTTTTCCCTGCGGAACTCAAGGGCCCGGGGCACAAGCTGGTCAGCCCAGTCCTGACCAGAATCTCCTTCTCCTTCCTTGGTTTGGTTTCTCTTTCACTTCCCCCTCCCCCGGAGCTTCCCCGCACCCCAGGCCCTTCGGGTCCCGGCTTCTCGGCCCTGCTACTGTACCTTGAGCAGCACCTGCTGGCAGCTTCCAGGGATCACGCCGGAACGCGGCCGCTGCTCGAGCCCAGCTCGCGGGATGCCTGGAGCCAGGGCCAAGCCGGTCTAAGCGGCAGCCTCTATTTTTACCCTGAGCACCAGCAAGGGCAACTTCTTTTAAGAGCAGCTCTTGATTTTTTCCCCCCTTTTGGCAGCTAAAGAATTCAGGGAGGGGAAAAAAAAATCACTGTTCAGTGAGTGCAGCTGGGAATCTCTGAACCCAGCCCTCACTGCCAGGGACTGAAACCACAGCAAATGTCAGGGAGCGGGACCTGCGGAGGGGCCGACTGGCTCCCCGCGGACAGAGGCGAGCAGGGAGCGCTCGCGCACCAGCTAACTGCCCCCTTCTGAGTGCAGAGCGCGGTCCTCCAGCGACTGCACTAGCAAAGTGGCCCGCTGCCACCGCGTTATTCACCTAGTGGAGGCGGCCTGATTTACTGGCGACTTCACAAACCCAACTCCACGCTGGAGCATTTGCATGGCTCTGTTCTCGCCTCGAGGAGCAGCCACTAGCGAACCCGGTGGAGCAGCTTGCTGCGAGAAGGAGCCGGGAGGGAAACTGTGGTACCTTATTTTACTGTAATTGCAAAAGGAACGATGTGCCAGAGATTTATATTTAGAAGTTGTATGTTTCTACTTTTATGTAAATGGAGCAATTAGGGCCTGTCTTGCTGCTGCTAACTCCAATGCGTGTGCATTGCTGGGGAGCTGGTGTTTTCAATCACAATTAGTGAGCTGGTCAAAAAACAAAGTTCGTTTAAGGATAAGAGCTCAATTGTGCGAATGGGGGAGAGGCCAGCGTTCGTGTGCCGGCCTGTGGCTTGCGGTGACACCTAGCTTAGGGCCATGGCCAACCCTATAGTGGTGTTTACCTGTGGCAGCAGCTGTCCCTGTTCAAAGTTGGCATAGATGAGGAAGCAAGAATGTTCACTTTTCTTCTCAAGCAAACCGTCTGTCCTTCAGCTTTCATCCACGCTATTAATTGGTGTCTTTCCTCACTACTCCTTGAGCAAGGAGACAGGCCCAGAAAAGCGGAGCGGGGGGGTGGGTGGGGACATTTTTCAGGGCTCTATTATTTTAGCTGCTGCTCACGGATTGCTGTTATTCAGTCAAAAATATAAGCCAGGAGACGTGAACACCCCAAGCAGGTGACTGGGATGTTGTTCTCTGATTCAACTGAAATGACACAAGGCTGGGGGTTCAGAGGCATGGACAAGAGTGCTGACGAGTCCGGGTGTTTTCGTTCCTTCCTATGAAAAAATCTGTTTCCAAAAACGCATGATTTCTGGTTCATCCCGTCTGGGAAACCAAACATAAAACGTGACTATGGAGAGAAATCAAAAGGTGTTCCCAGCAGCTAATGTGTTATTCTGGGGCTCAGGCCGGAAAACCTGGCCTTCTTGGTGAGGGGTGACTCCCTCAAGAGGCAGCTCAGAATCCAGAGAATGTGGTCAGGATCCAGAGTACTATCTGCTGCAGGGAGACTGCCAGAGTCTGTGATGAAGAAGGGTCTCATCAAATGGTTGACATTGAACATGGGATTGGCAAACACGGCCTGTTTCCTGGACAGCCACAGCCTGTACATAACTTGGGCTGAATGTTAGGTAGAAAGAGTTGGGACAAAGGAGAAGCAGTGTTTCACATTCAAAATTGAACTGGGAAGCTGTTTTGCTTTCAAGTTAAGTCAATGAATGAATAGCTCTAAACAGAGAGAGAGAGGGAAACATTAAAAAGTCCCCTGAAATTCATTGAGAACAACAGGGTCAGAAATGGTTAATCTGAAACTTGACTCCTAAGCTTCACATTTCTTTCAGAACCACTGGAATATCCCACAAGGCCTTCTGCTTCGTGGGATATTCCACAAAAACAGTGGGATACTCTGTTTTTAGAGTATTTGGAAATGCTGTTTTCTGAAGCAAGGGAACCCAGATACTAGAACTAAAACAACTGCGGAAAAGAGAAGAAGGAAAAAAACCCAGCAAGTAACCTATTACTCTTCATTCTACAGCAGTGGTTCTCAACTGGGGCGATTTTGCTCCCTGGGGGACATCTGGCCATGTTTGAAGACATTTTGGTTGTTACAGCTGGGAGGGAGGTTCTACTGATCATTAGTGGGTAGGGGCCAGGGATGCTGCTGAATATCCTACCATGCACAGGACAGCCCCCAACAACAAGAAATTATCTGGCCTACAGTGTTAATTGTTCTGCAGTTGAGATACCCTGATTTCATGTTATAATTGTAAAGTTCACTCAACCTTCTCCCTATCCATCTCCAAGAGGCCTTGGGAACCAAGAAAAACATTGCAACTCTACAAAATACTAATAATTCAAGTGATTCTGCTGCCTCTTGCATCTTATGTTCTCTGATTACTGGAGACTACAGCTACAATGCTCCTCTTGGGCAACATTGTTGCTCCAACCAACTTTCATGTATGGCCTCAATACATTTTCCTGCTGGCTTTTTGTTCTAAACCAAAGCAGAATCTTGGTGGCCAGCAACAAAATGAGATGGGCTGGCCTACACCCAAGTTGTTAGGAGACAAGAGACTCATGCAAAAGAATAAATGAATAAAGGATTGAGTTGTTCATTTTAGCAATTCAGTATCAGATAAATCCATGCAAGAGAGAATTCCCTGAAGTAAAATTCACAAAAGTAAGATTACCCTGCCTTTCTCCTAGAGCAAACGAATATGTTGTAGCTTGATTTTATTTGTTTAATACCTTAGGGGAATGACATACAATCAATATCCAAAGAGATAAAACAGTGTTTTGCTAAATCCTAATGGCTGTTGCAAGCAACATTATATTCTCCAAACTTCCTTTGTAAAAGGAAGTGGTGTGGCTGTTGAAGGAAGGCCATGCCCTTCCAGCCCTTCCAGGTGTTGCTCTCCTGTGAGGACTGGGGAAACTATTGTGAAGGATTCCACCTCATGGAAAATCGTAAGAGTAATCAACAAGTATTGGTGAAATGCACAAAAAGGAAGTTGCCTGGATGAAACTAGCTTAGAACTGAAATCCTGTTGTCCAGACAGTGAGGGCTTACTTCCCTGGTTCATCACTTACCTCCTGAGTGACTTGGGTCCTCCAGAAAGGAAAGGGTAGGTCAGAGATCATTTTAAGATGAAGGGAGCTATGAGGGGAATGTCTTAGACACTCTGACGCCGTGTCATCTCTTCCAACTTGTGAATCACCATCTCCTCAGGTAAATGGTCATTTTGGAACCAAAGGCCTCAATCAACTTTCAAATGATTCAGAAATGCCTGGAGTTCTTCCCAAGAAGTAACCAAGTGGTACATGTAAAAAAATTCAATATTGAGAGAAATACTCGTTTACAACCACTATAGAAAAACATATATTGAAGAAAACCCAGACTAACTCAACCTGAAGAAATATGCCCTCAACATTCTTCCTGACCAATATATATTTCAAAATTGTTTATCATGACTCAGTTCTAACCCAATCAGGAAACATCTGCTTCAACAATTTATCTTCCTATTGCCCCAGAAGATTGTTGAAAAATACTCCCCAAGGAACACGGAACAGATTGTTGTAATCATTTTTCTCACCTGGATCCCCTTGGGTAATAAGTTCCATTGCTGACTTGAAGACATGGTGGTTTAGCACGTAGATTCCATTGGACTGATAAGAGGGCAGCAATCTTGCTTTGCATCCAGTTTTGCCTGTCCACAAAGATCCCCCCACAGCCTGTTCCCAAATCACTGCTTGGAGGGAAAAAAGCCCCACAGAAAAGCCTGGGGGCAGTCCTGTGTGAATTTTTTTTTAAATCAGTGAATTGCTGCCTCCCTCGTGTCCTAATAGAGTCCAAAGGTTCTGCCCTCTGTGGGAGCAGCTCCAAGGCATGGTCTGAGTGCCGCTGTTCACGAGTCCTGCGGGCTCGCGTGGACACTGGCAGCAGCTCAGCTAGGTGAGCAAATATTTCCAGGTGGCCCACTCTAATTTTAGGAAGGTCAAGTTCGCAAAGGTGAAATAGTAAGTAGGACTTTTGTCACTTTATCAGATTGGAAAAGCAAACTGTAATTAAGCACAATATTCTTAGACTTTAAAATGGAATCACTGAATTCTACAACCAGCTTTAAACTCTCAAAAAATAACTTATGGCTACAATCCCTCTTCTACTCATTGAGTTCCTCTTAAAAGATGGAAGAGTGTAATGAATGAGGGAGGAGCCTCTATAGTAGAAGGAAAAAAACACTCCAGAAACCTCTCTCCCAAAGGCCAGGGGTTCATTTGTGATCCCTTAATGAAACAGGGGCAGAAAGCCAACAAGGTAATTTTGGCCAACTCCAACATCACTTAACTATGAGCTGAGAATAATTAAAATGGTGCTCCCTGTAGAAAAGAGTTCACCCAATAAGTTTCCCAAATTTCAAGGAGCTTTTGTTTT